ATTACAAAGCTGCGAAATACAAGATGCTAAATGCTTTATAAACTACAACTAAGAGCAAACTAATCTCCCGATCGATCGCCGAGTAAGAGGGTATACTAGCCTTGATCGCCATCCTGATCGCACTGCTGCAAGGGCAAGCAGGGAGGTCGAGAAGCACTCTCAGCAAGCAGAAAGGAAGATGAAGCATCCTCACATCGCCTTCCTAAATGCATCGCTGTAACGACGGACAAGGAGGCTGAGAAGCACTCTCAGCAAGCAAGGTGGCCTGCAAGCACCCCAAAAATTACCTTCCATCATTGAACTCCTTGTAGGAACAGAGACGATGGGAGGAACTTTGCTGCTGGCCAAAGAATATTTCCTATATCTCCCATAGGGAAGTGAAGGTGAAAAGACAGAATATGATGTGCATTTATAGGGGATGAAGGTGAAAAGACAGAATATGAGCAACCATATTCGTGTCTAGTAAATGGGATTAAATGGCCCTAAAGTCGGGCAGAAATGTCAAGAGAAAATGTGCAAAAATTTTAGCATAAAGCAGTTAAATGCCTGAGCGATTGACGATTAAAAGACGAACATCAATAAATATACAAGAGGCTAAAATAGTTATTCATTAACAATGATGGCTGCTGTTATATCAGTACAAGGTTACAAAAAGACAGTCAATACGAAATTACAAAAAAAGAAAAAGTTAAGGCATTATATGTCTTAATTACAATCCGCCCCATACCAAACGAATTCTTTCCCTAAGTCTCCCCCAGTCCTCGCTCTGCCGAGAAGAAGTGATATTCAATTCAGCCACAACATCATCATCAACTTCCAACTTCTTGTACTGCTCGACCAAAGACTTAGTTCGCTCAATTCCTTGGGAGGCATTATGCTTCTTAGCAGCCATTCTCGCCTTGCAGTCGACCATCTTGGCTTGAAGCTCCTTCATCTGAGCAGCCAAACTAGTCATCAAAGAGTATTCAATCATGACTTTAGAAGAGATTTCTTTCAACTCGTCCTCAGCTTTGTTGATCTCCAGAAGCAAAGACTCTTTTTTAGATACGGTGTGAAGATATTGAGTACTTTTGGCCTTCAGTTCAACATTCTTGGCCAGCAAGGAGAGGACCTCGGAATGGACAACTTTCAACGTCGCTTTAAAATCAGCAGAAAGATTGAGTGACGGAAGTGTCAGTGCTTGCTCCAATTTCGCATTCAAATGCTCAAGCTTATCCTTACGCTTGGCAGCACTAGCCTTACCAATGTCCATATCCATGAAGGACACATACTCAAATATCGACTGCTTGAGGAACTTCATATCTTCCTCTGAAGAAGTAGAAGGACAACTGGCTGAAGCAGGGCGAGATGTCTTGACTTGTCCCCAGGAAGTGAACAAGTCTTAAATGGAACGCATGATTTTATCAGCATCCTGCAAAGAAAATCACCAATATTGAAGGTTTCCACTACACTAAACAAAGTGGAGGTAAAGGTGAAGCAAAGATTACCTCATCAGCAATCTTGGAAGGTGGCATATCCCCAGTCAAATCTGCCACCTGTAGCTCCACCATTCGTGAGGATTTCCCCTTGTTTAAGCGAGAAGACCTTGCAGCAACAGGCAGACTCGTGGGAGCGTCTGCAGAACTCAAAAGGCAACAAATTAAAACCAATAGCACAAGCAAAGGTAAAGCATCAAAAAATGAATTACCTTTTGCTTCAACGTTTGGGGGGTCAACGCCCTGGGAAGAAGGTGGCTCGTCCATTGGTTGTGATGAAGATTCTTGGACTGAAGATTTTCCTTTAAGCGTAGTCCCTTCATCAGTTGGTTTGGACGAAACAGCCCCAGCAGATGATGGAGCAGGAGCTGCCAACACCAAAGTCTTCAAGGGAGAGGTTGAACTTTTTCGAGAAATCCAAATAAACTATCAGCACATAGAAAAATTTCAAGCATGGAAAGGTATGCTTATAAGTAAACCAATTTAATTACCTTCCTCCTGACGATGAGAGGGGTATCATCATCATCATCAGCATCATCCTCCAAAATGGGAGACGCTGAGGCTGGCCGTTTGTGGCTTGGGGCACTTTTAGCTGCAGTGGGCTTGGCAGGAAGAGAAGTCGATGGATGGGCAGATTGTTTAACACGAGCAGAGGAAGAGGGACTCCTAATGGACACAGGAGTGACCAAAACAGGAGAGGGGGAAGAAATATTTGGCTGGTCCAGTGAATGGAAAGCACGATTGGCATCAGTCGCAAACAATTTGCGCTTCACTGACGGCTAGAGTCGTTCAAAAAGGGGATGGATGGCACGGCTAGGATTGAAGGGGGCTAATGAAAAGCTGCTCGTCAAAAGAATATTGTGAGCATTTATAGCCTCTGCCTCTGCCTTATTAATGGTGTGGAAGCCGTCTATCAAGTTCCTTGAATAGCAAGGGGGAACGGGCCAAGTTTGGCCAAAACCAAGTTGGCGAGCAAAAAATTGGGGAGCATATATTTCTACCCTAACTTTGGCATTGGTCCCAGTCAAAATATCATGAAACAACTCCCTCCCGATCAAAAACTGAATCAAAACGAGCAAGAAAGTGTTCGCACCATCCAGAGTGGATGGAGGTTGCACATAATTTGGAGTCAAAAAAGGAGGAAAAGGAAAGAAGGAAGGGATTGAATCCAAAGTATAAAAGAATGAAAAAAATGTCCCTTCTAGACATATTTACAAGAGTTAGGGGATCAATGGCGAGCCCATAGCAGCTAGCAGAAGGATTGGAAAAAGATGGAGCACTGAGCGATGGAAAATAGGCTCTCAACCACATTTGAGTGAACCAAAGAGGCCCACAGCCAGTGGGAGATGCACCATTCTTCAATTGTGATTGAAGAGAAGCCATGCCTCTATAGAGGGCAGCTAAAAAGAAAGAACATAAATTTAGAGGCCTACCACGCGTCAATTCATGCGCTATGGGTAAATAACTCATGGAGGGCTTTATGCTTGGCACACACAAAATGTATTTACAAAGCCAAATCAGAAGAAAGGCCACTCGCTCAGTATGGGAAGGCTCAGCACTCGAGTGGTTATGAAGGGTTTGCAATAAGACTCGGTGAGGCCTCTATCAAATTTTGGGGCGACACCAGAAATCAAAATATCAGGAAAAATGGTATCGCCCAAAGGTGACAGATTTACTATGGCCCCAACATCCCTTAAAGTAATGGACATGGGACCAAGAGGAAAAACAAAAGTATTATACTCGGAAGACCAAAAACTTAAAGCGATTGAAAAAAGTGCTGGGTCAAAAATAGGGGGTTGAAGAGAGATTTCTAACAAATCAGAAATCCTAGCATTATCAAAAATTGTTTTAGTAGGACTATGGTCCACAAGGCGAGCATGCCATCTACGAAAAATGACATCAGATTTAAGCCAAGTGCGAATACCTCTTTCGCGAAGTGGCCCCAGCGGCAAAGAATTTAGAAACGGAGGGCCTTGAGTACAAGGGAACAGCTGACCGACCGCCGCTTGTTCGATGGCCTCGGCATTGTTGAATAAAGGACTTAGATAGAATTCATTGAGTTCGACATTGGCCGGTGCAAGGAAGTTCGGAGTTATATATGGCCGAGTAAGGAGTTTCTGAAAGTCTTCAAAACTGAAGGAGTCACCAGACTGGGATTATGAAGCAGCCATTAGGAACGAAATAGAGTTTTTCAGAGTTACATAGCAGAGAAGCAAGGAGATGAACAGTAATATTGCGAGAGAGAAGCGCGACAAAAAATGAGGCGTGATTTAGTGGTGCAATGAAATGGCGTATTTGGGGGTTATAAAGGTTTGCAAACGTCGCACATTTTCAGGCTATGAAAGAAAACAATGATTGAAATTCTTGAGAATTTCGAATGTTGTTGGGAAACACAAAGTGAATATGGCAAAAATTAATAATTGATATTAATTCTGCCATATTGGGGGGTAATTGTTGACACACTAAAAGTTCAACCCAAGTTGAACAGCCCAAGGAATGAAACCCAATTAGAAGATCCCCAAAATCAAATAGCCCAAAGAACGACCCAATCAAGCAATGCACGATAAAGGCCCAAATAGGGAAGCCCATGAACGCAGTAATACCATCGCTCAAAGTTGCAAGTCGCCCAAGATTTGAGCGAATGAATTGTCATGTAGTCGCCCAGAGCTGTGACTCTGCTCTCATCCAAACATTCGAGTCGCCTAGCATCTTAGCAAACATAAGATGTTATGGTTAACCAAAAGTGCAGTTAATGAAGCAGTTATTGGGTAGTCCTATCACGTTCCACGATTCAAGGAATTCAATTGAAGACGGTTGAACGACAAAAAGTAATGGCAGCAGTTAGAGAAGATAGTTCCATGACAAGTTGGCCATTACGAGGAAAGTGGCCAGTTATAGAGCGATCAAACAGTTTTTAAGCTGTTGATCATGAAAAGATCATCCAGGGAGTAAAAAGGAAGAAAAGACATAGAGTGAAGGAACCCGAATCAAACACTCTCAAACAGAGAATATGTAACTTTCAATTTCTTAATTTAGATTTAAACACTTCTTTTTCAGTAACTCGTGTGCTTGCGCCCCTTGGAGGCATTCTATTTTTATTTTCCAATTGTAAAGTTATCGCCAATAAAAACACCCCTTTTTGAAACTTTGTTTCAAGAGATTTGTCTCTTACACAATCGTCTGACCCCTTTTTAATTGTTAGCGTCTAACCCGCGCGAAACAGGGGGTGCAAATTTGGGTTGAGCACTTGAATGTGATAGATTTGGGAAGCTAACATTTTTCCATATTTTTAATTTTAGTTTGTATCAACTTTATAATCATTTTTAAAGACGAATTCGTCTATTTTGTTTTTTATTGTTTTATATAAATAATGCATATAATGATTTGCCTTGAAAATTTGGAGAAGCACTCTTTACGCGCATATGCCAAAAATAAATTTTTGGACCTATTTATACTTTTTGAAAACATTTGGGACCCCAGTCATATTTTCCTTAATAGGTTTCGAATGCATTTGACTATTCTCAAAAAATTCGTACCCTACGGAACAAATCTTGTACGTTGCCCTGAAAATAGTTAAACTCTTTCGGCAATAGCTTGAGATTCTTCTATAAACAGCTCCACAGCTCTTTCTTCTGATTTTCTAACCTCGAACGGTGAAACTCTGGAACAGTGAAGGGAAGAATTGTAAGGTATGGCTCATATTTTTTTCTTTGTTGATTTTTTTAATATCTTTTCCATATTGTCTCTGGGGTTTCGGTTCGCATATTGGCACGAATCGTTGAGTATTTCTATTTTGTTTTCTAGGTTTCGGGTGAGTGCGAAATTAGGGCGAAACTCTGAAACTGTGAAGCGAACAATTGTAAGGTACGGCTCACATCTTTTTCTTTGTTGATTTTTAATATTTTTCTCCATATTTGTCTATGGGGTTTCGTTTCGCATATTGGCACGAATCGTTAAGTATTGTTATTTTGTTTTCTAGGGTTTATGTGAGTTCGAAATTCGTAACAACAACGAACCAATGTATAAATATTAAGAAAATTAAATACAGATGCGCAAGTTTCGACGAACACCTTTCTACAAATAGGCTCACTGATTTCGAATTCACCCTCAGGAAATTGAAGTCTTTGTGCATATTTTGAGGCATTCAAAGTTATGTTGTGGTATTTTGAAAAAAGTTGGCAATCTTTTATCGTAAGCAGGGAGGATTCGATTTTTAGTATTTATTTATTTTATTTTTTTTGACTTGCTTGAAAACCGCCTTTAATTTTTCTTTAAATGGATTGAAAGGTGAATTTGATATGGTCTTCAAAGAATCAAAATGTCCAGTATCCTTTTTTTTTTACTGTGCACCTGCGTATAAAATTTAAAGTTTAATCTGAATTGTGTTATTTCAGTGGTTGAGTTATGGCCATTAGGTCTGCAATTAGGGATCTAGTTTGAGAGAATGATCTTGTTTACATTGGTCATTGATTAGTTGAGTGGATTAGCTGCCAGTTCACTGGGTTGCAATTGTTTCCAATTAATATGAGAGGGGTTAGCATTTAATTTTTGAAGAACGAATTGAGGGAAAAATGTTATTGATTTAATTTTTTTTCACAATCTTAACAACAATCCCTAATGTCAAGCTATATTATGCTTGAGAATCGAGTAGCTTTGCCTGATAATAATGAAAATCTAAATGTTTATTTACCAAATGAAAAATTGTCGGTTAGAATAAGTGAGGATTGTTATATTCAACAAATGCTGATATGAATGAATTGCACATGTTGGTTTTATTAAATGTGAATCGATTTTTTGTTACTTCTGTATATGTAGATTATTGCAGCTTGCCATGGGACAAAGTTTTGTTTTGGATTAAAAATTGGCATATTGACATTGTTGCAGGACAAAAGTTAAACTGAAAGATGGGTAAGAGGAAGTCCAAGTCGAAGCCACCTCCAAAGAAGAGAATGGACAAACTTGATACTGTCTTTAGCTGTCCCTTCTGCAACCATGGAACCAGTGTGGAATGCCGCATGTAAGTGTGTGTAAAACTATTACAATTTTTTTTCTGGTCAGCCTCTGTGTGGCCTATTTCTGTTGCATTTTACTGAACCGACCTTTGCTTCCAAACCACCTTTGCTTCCAAACCATCTATCATATGGTTGAATGGTTAAAAGTAAAGATGTCATGTCCTGTTTGCTTCCAAACCTACTATCCATTTACTAAATGCTGATTAGTGAGAGCTTTGAAGTTCTGTTTTCTTTATTTGAACAAATTTACAAAAGATGGGACAAGAAGAGAATTTGGAACAATGGGATACCTATCCCTGCGAAGAGCAGTTTATGTTATGTTCTTCATTGATATCGATCTGGATAAGAAAGGGTAGTACATGGAAAAAATGTTATATAACCTTTTAGACAGCTTTTACAAACCTCAATTCTTTTCTGTCTTTTGTTGTTCAGTAGTTTTGTTTTGTGAAAGTTGTAACCACATTCATTCTCCACCTTCAGTGATATGAAGAACTTGATTGGTGAAGCTTCATGCAGGATTTGTCAAGAGAGCTTTAGCACCACTGTAACAGGTTTGTTCCATTCTATTGCCGTTCCCAAAGAAATTCAAGTTCTCAAGACAATATTTGAGCGTTACCTTGGCAAAATTTCTGATGCTATTACATTGCACGATCGTGTGGTACAAGGATACTTATTGTAGACTGATTCTAATAGACCTAAGCAGAATGAACAAACTGCACAACCGACCCCCGTAGTCGTTCTTCAATTTATCCTCAATAAGTGTCACCACCTTCAATTGTTTGCACATATTATTTTATACAAGCAAACATCCATCTTAGCATCCTCGTGCGTGTTACTTTCATCTTACAGAAATAGCTTAACTTACAGTTCCATAAAACATAGTGATGCAGGATAGAGAAGAGGGTAGCAAGAAAGTGGGGAGAACCGGAGAAAAAGTAGAAATTCAAGAGGGAGAGGGGAAGGGAGAGGAAGGAGATGCCACAACCAATCTCAATTTATCATAATCATCAAACTATCTCAATTACATGGCAAACTAGGCCTTGTTTGAGCCATATTTTTTTCAAAAAAATGCATTCTTCACCGGGGATTTGACATTATCTCAACCATACATTCTTCAATAAAATAATATTACACGCAAATTCAAAACTTTTCCTTATTTCTTAACCACATTTTCCATCAATATACTATTCCAAAATACATTTTCATTCTAATAATGTGGCTCAAACAAAGGCTAGGTTTAAATAATAAAACAAAACCCTAAAGAGAAAGGGTCCAAGCCCACTAAATAATAGTCCAATTAAAATAAGCAAAATAAATAAGAGTCCAACTAAATAAAAATAAATCTAGGTGGATGTTCTCATCACATAGTATGTCTAATAGCTGTTGTGTAGAACGCTTTTTAACCTTATAGGACCTTCGTATCTCGGGCTTCTACAAGATTACTTTGAAATTGTTTAAAAATATCAAGATTCATCTTTTTTCATTCATTAATTCACAATTTTGGGTGATGTTCTATACATTTAACATGATTTCTTCTAATTCCATATGTCCGGCTAATTTTATACATCGTTAGAAAGAGATGAATACTTGTTATGTTATTTTTAGTTTTAAATTAATTATTTTAACTTCAATTTGGTTTTATTTGTGGATGTTTATTATCATTCTGATTATTCTTTTTAATTGCTTGATCACCAATCATATTGTTAGTGGTGTGAGAGAGACAAATAGAGTTTAAGCACAACATAATTAACGTTGAAAAGTTCGATAGAGAATAGAGATATACCTATATGCTTTATATGATTTCAATAGGTATTCTAGTGCTTGTTAATGCATTTCTCATAATTTCCTTTCTCATCGAGAGATAGAAGGTTCATATGAGGGAAATAGATTTGATCGCTATCGAGAGAGGCTTTTAATTAAATTAGGATCATAGACCAACATGATTGATTTCAAATTGTCACTTTAATTATTACAATAAAAATGGAATAACAAGGGATATTTAACATCTTAGCAATGTATTTCTTATATTTGAAAAGCACATTTACTTGCTTTCGCTGGTTTATTTAATAATTTAAAGATTAGTATAGAAAAATCACAACAACTTGTATGCTATTTAATTAAAAGTTTCAATTACTATTTAATTAAAAGTTTCAATTAACTTTAACTTGGTCAAGCATATAGTCTTCATAGGTTTGACATTCTAATCATCAATATATTATTTCACCCCAACTCCGTGAACTTGCGGATTTTCAAAGGGATGATTTATCGCTATTGCCATGGGCTACAGTTTTTATAAATTTTAGTTAATTTTAGCTTTATTTTGAATTTTATTGCTTTATTAGTTAGTTTATTTCATTAGAAAAATTCTGCAATGCTTTTTTCTTACTTTTTCAAGATGTGTAAGCAAAGTTTGTGACCTGATAATCTTGCTCAATTTGATCCAAAGATTGGGTGCACATTCAGGTTTTGAGTAAGAAAACAATTGGATTCAAAGATCGAATAAGGGATTTGCTTAAAGTTGTTCAAACTAGCAGAGAGGGCCTTACTCTATTCAAGATTAGCAGTCATCTGGGTTTGGATAGCTGCTATTTGTCGAGCGAGTTCATCAAATTGTGAAAGGTCCATGTTTAGGTACCAAAACTAGAAGTGACAAGACGACCAGTCAACCACTATGCATGCACTGTATTAGCTGCTAAATGACGTGTAATAGAGAGATCAATAAAAAATAAGTGCAAGCAATGGAAAATAACTTGAACCATCTTATTTTATTTCATTTTTAATTTCTGGGATTAAATAAATCCAAAGCAAGCTAATGTTGTTGGTATATGTAAAATAGTAAAGCAAGGGTCAAACGTTAGTCAGATTCTCCAATCACGTTGATAAGTGGGGGATAATGGGAAGTCAATTCGTTCAAGAATTCTAATCAAGTGGGGTTTAAGGCTAAAATTGTAAAGGTAACAACACAAATAATATAAATGATGATATTTTAAAATGAAGTAGCAGTATAGACCAAAGATAGATAAGAATAGTGACTCCCTGTAGTTCGGTTGGTCTGAGTTGCTAACGTGTGGATTTCGGGCTAGTCAAATGTCTTTGGCATCAAAAATCACTTCGATTGCATCTAGTAAAGCAACCTTGCACTTATGTTGTGATGACTGTCACTTTGGTGTGGTGAATTGTGAGAGAGTGGCCGTTGATTGTTGTTAGCAGTTGCAGAATGCAATTCTTTGGATGGTGGGCTGTAGTGGTGGTTGTTTTGTAAAGATGGTAGTGGCTGTTGACTGTAATTTACAAGTAGTGTGTTGACTGTGATTGTTGGGTGGCGGTGTGTGAGAAAGAGGAAACAGAGATGGTGACTAGTCGTGGTCGTGGTGAAGGGAATGAGGTAGCTCGTTGGCAATATATGTGGCGTCAACAATAAGAGTCGGAAAAGGACGTCGTGCACGTGTTCAGAGGGAGGGACACTAACTGTGGTGGAAGTTTCAGGTTTTGAGTGAATTTTGAGTGGTTTGCAGTGGCTTGGCGACGGCGTCTGGGGCTAGAAGACGGGTAGGTGGAGGCCGATTCTGTAAGTTCAGACAGTAGGGGAGAATTGAGTATGCGATGGGTGTATGGTGAAGGCGGCGATGTCGCCGGCGTTCGCGGTTGGAGGGCGACTATCCTCGGGGCATCTGGTTCGGAGAAGAAAAACAACTATGCCGACGCTGAGATGTCGAGGAAGAAAGAGGCTTGGTGATGGGCTGAAGAATTGGGCTGGGTTATGAGAGATTAAGTTGTTGGTGACGGGCTAGAAGTGGATATATTGGGAGGAAAAATTCATAACTCAGATGTATTCTTTACACCAATTCAATTTTCAAGTCCTAAGTTTAAAAGTGCAAAAATCAGGTATTTATTTATTAATTAAAAATATTTTATTAATTAAATGTAATAAGGTCACTGATACAAAATTTTAGGTCACAATTTATTTATTAGTCACATATCATTAAATTAATTAGTCACAGGTTATTTCAAGCTCACACATAAATTTTTTTATAGATCACAAATTATTTCGATGGTCAAAGATCTAAAAATTCATAGGTCACAATTTATTTTGGTGGTCACAGGTCTAAAAATTTATAGGTCTCATATTTTTAAATTTGTTGATGACAGTTAAATATTTGGTCACATAAGCCAAATAGTGGTCACAAACCATCGCAATTAACACTATCACACCGCCACTGCCATCACGGCCACTTGTAACCACCCTCACCCCGTTACCGTCGCCAAGGTCACATGGTCACAGATAACTAAATAGTTGGTCACACTCGTCAAATAATGGTCACAGACTATCACCACCACCACTACTATCACATCGTCAATGACGTCACAGACACTTGCAACCACTCTCACCCCGTTATTGATGCCAGCTCTAACACCAAAAAAAACAAAAATCAAAGCAATCACAACCAACAACCACTACCTCTGTCACTAGAAACTACCACGAGTGCCACCACCACACACACCAACAAATACCCAATTTGATGGAAAACCACCACGACCGCCACCACCAAAAACCACAACACATAACCAACGTCTCCACCGCCAACAAGACCACCGCCGTTAACCACACAATATCACCGCACCACCATCCAAACACTATCACTGCTATCACCATCCAGATCTGAACACACCACGTCAGATTGCTACAATCACCACCAGAAGATCAATATTCACACTATTCAGACACCGACATATCAATATTCACACGGCACCACCACCACATCCAGTACCACTCCAAAAATCAACAAACACCTAACACCGCACCAATAAACTTCCACACACTGAACCATCTTGTGTGTCGCCGCACAGCAAAGCCGCGACGTTCACCTAACACCGCACCAATAAACTTCCACACACTGAACCATCTTGTGTGTCGCCGCACAGTAAAGCCACGACAACGTCGCGGCTACGATGCTCGCATTGACTCGCAGCGGCGCTCAGATCGACGCTTGTCACGGCACCGACAGTCGTCGTGACAACAACATTCGTCGCGACGAGTTGAGTGGCGGTCAGATTTAGCAGTGGCCAAAGCTGGTAGAGAGAATGGAGAGATAGTAGACAGAGAATGGAGAGAAGAAAGGGGAGAAGTGAATTAGGATTTGGAATTGAATTAATTAATTGATAAATTAATACCTGATTTTTGATTTAAAAACACCTACACATGATTTTGTACTCACATCTTTAGATATCGGGAATTCTGTAATTTCCTCTATATTGGGTGTGTGATGGGTCGGATTGTTGAGATCTTGTGTTCTGGAGTTATTGGGCTGCGTGGATTATGGGTTACTGGACTTGGTTACGGGTTAGTGTTGGGCTTAGAGAAATGTAGGTATTTGGGCTAGTAGTAAAGTAAAGAACAGCCAAACAAAGTTGGAATTAGCAGCAAAATAACTCTCAGATGACAGCAAAATTATTATTATTATTTTTTTTTCAAAAACCGACAAAAAATACTAAAATTGAATTTTTCGGCAGTGAACAGTAACCTTTTTTTTGTCAACTGAAAGAAAATTGCTGCTCAAAAACAAATTCCTTTGTTTGTGCTATTCTACAAATTTTTGGGAAGAGAATATGAAAAAAATTTGGATTGTAGATGAAAAATTATCTAAGTTTCGGCTCTGATACCAAATTTTATATAGGGCAAAGAAGAGGGCAGCGAAAAAGAGGGGAGAATCGGAGAGAATGGGGGGAGAAATCGAAGAAGGAGCAGAAATTCTAGGGCGAAAAGGAAAGGGAGAGGAAGGAGACGCCACAACTAGTATCAGTTCATCATAATTATCAAACTGTCTCAATTACATGACAAACTAGGTTTAAATAATAAATCAAAACCCTAAAGAGAAAGGGCCCAGGCCCACGAAATAATAGTCCAATTAAAATAAACAAAATAAATAAGTCCGACTAAATAAAAATGAATCTAGATAGATGTCCTCATCACATAGTATGTCTAATAGCTGTTGTGTAGAACGTTAACCTTATGGGACCTTCCTATCATAAAACATTCCAGCAGCAGTTCTCTATTTTGTGTGGCTTACTTTTTTCACATGCATTATATCCTAATTCAATTCCTCCTCATTGTTACTAAATACTGATGGAACTAAAACCTATAACAGTTTTGGGGTTTTAAAGATACATTTTGCAAGTTGCAACAGTCTAATGCTTCTTGGACCATGGTCGTCATTTGGTATAGTATGTGAATGTGGAAATTGATTTTAATATGGGTAACTTTAAAGAGTCGAGGGAATATATGGAATACAAGAAGTTAGTCCAAGTTAATCCTTCTTTATGCCAAAATGAGACTATTCATTTGGCATCAAAGACAATTGGAATTTCATGCTTACATGGTGATTTCAACTTTGTGTAATTTGCCAATGACCTCTTAAGATATCGCTGACTTGCTTTATTATTTCTTTGCAGCTTTGACCGAGCCTATAGACATGTAAGTAAGAAGATGAATCATTCGTCTAGTTTATTCAAATTGTCATTTTTCTTCATCCTCTCTATTTGAAATAATTTGTGCTTACAGATATAGCGAATGGATCGACGAGTGCGAACGTGTAAATAATCCTGAAGATGATGGCGAATAGAGAATTCTGGAGTTCAGAATTCCCAGTATTACTGTGTTATTCAACTAGCATAATGCTTAGAAGTTTTACCTCTGAAACGTGTAGACGTTGCCTATATATGTTTGCACAACATTTTAAGGTGGACTTGTGCATGAATGTTTCGATGGTGTGTAATGATATTTTGTTGCGTGTGTTTATGAAATAAAATAGATTGCTATGTATCCGAGATGTGGTGGTAAATTTTTTGCAAGCAGTGAGTGGACTGTGTATGCCATTCGAATCGGAATGAATTAAATTTTGCCGTGTTTGGTATAAATTAAAATTAAAGGGGAGTTTGTTTTCAATTTTTGTAAAAATGAGAATGAAAAATATGGTCATTATAGATTTCACGCAAGAGAGAGAAATTCAAATTTGGTGGCTTGGTGTGATAAATAACGATCATATTTTTCATTTTAATGGGGAAACAGACGGGGGTTAAGATTTTAATTTAAGTCAAAGTTAACAATTAATTTTTACCATATATTTTAAGCAGTACACAACTTTTAAACTGCACGTTTCATCAGTCAAAATTTTTCTGTGAGCTCGATTAGAGGCAATTTTCCTTGGGCAGTTTACTTTCTTGAGCAGATAATCAACTATTGGATAGGGTACGCTAAACATTGTCTTTGTGTACGCTATAGATTTCACTGACGTTATGTAAATCGGTGAAGAGTTCTTTGCTAAACTAAATTTTGTTAAATTTAAGAAATCTCAATAACGAAATAACTTAATGTCCAGAATGTTTTGGCGAGGGTAAATAAAGTAGAAATTAAAAAATATGTTAAAACATATGGGGTACGATACGATGCAAAATAGTTAGAAAATCCCTTGAGAAGGGTCCAACGATGCCAAAAATCCTTCTGCGGATCATAACACAAACATCTTCACATACTTGCGTGTGTTTTTTCATGCTACTACATTAATGACTACTCCAGCGTCCAGCGTCTATAATTCAGTTTTACCTATAGTCTATAGATATAGATGGATACATATATATCCACAGAGATTCATGATTTTCATGCATTTTGTTACTTGTTAGAATAGGACTGAAATTCTTGTGTTCGTTCTTGCAAATATAAAATTTCGGTATAATTAAGGATGCAGTGGCTATTGACGAAGGCAGACGGAGCAATGGTGATTGGAATTGGAAATAAATGGAAACTAGGGTTTGGGGAGTGTATTCGTACTGTGGTGACGAGCTGCAGAGCGGTGCTGTTGCCGCTATTCGGCGGGCCGGATGTGCTGGAGCTCCGAGACACTGTTAAGGTGCCCGATCTCAAGCCCAATGAGGTCCTTGTACGCGCTCGTGCTGTTTCCATCAATCCCCTCGATCCCAGAGTTGTCCCATTTTCGCTCACTATTAATATCTCAGCGGTTTTATTTTATTTATTTATTTATTTTTTTAAATTATTTACATGCCCAAGTGTATGAAAATAGAGGCTATTATGTTTTGGTAATATGAGGTTAAATCAATTAGGAGTGCTTGTGATACACTATCTGAAACGAAAGTTGATAAACTATTAACATTTCCTTGTTGATTATTGTTTTGCAATCCAAATTAGAAATTCGCGTGGTTGATATGCTGAAAATAAAGAAAGAATATTTGTCTAGGTAGAAAAGTCAATGCATTCGAATCAGGTTAAATATTGTGGGGAAATGAGTTGGGATGGTCACTCTTAATGTACATTTTATTCAGTTGGAGTTTGACCAAACTTATAAAAATAAAAGGAGTTTTAATTATTTAAAAATGTCAAAAAACTTCTTTACCCTTAACTTATAAAACAAAAATGAAGAAGAGATTGAAGTTTTTTTCTAAATTTGTTGCAGTCGTGACTTGAACCTTGGATTGCAATAAAATATTTTAATTCCACAACCATTATAGCAAGTAATGATCCTTTGTTTCCTATGAGCAAAATATATATATTACATTTCAAAAAATTGTTTTATTCTCACTTCAAAAATAAAATTTAATTAAAATTAAAATTTAACAATAACCCATCGGTTGAACTATTGACTTGGTGGTTTTTTGTAGTTGATCATCGGGTTGGCTCTAATAACTATGTATTCATGTTCTAACACACACAACATTCTCTTCCTTTAAATTCAAAATGTAACGACCCAAATCATCATAATTTAATTCGCTACAAATTTTTTTATTTTTATTTTTAAATCCTTTAATTTATTATGAACGCGTAATAATTATCACTGAATTTCGACACAAGTAACGTGATAAATTGCTTTTACAATTATTGCACGTTCGATTTAAATTTGGTATGCATGGAAAATGGAAGCCACAAATTAATTCAAAATAAATAGGTACTCACAGCATGTATAGTGACTGTCATTCACCAACCAACATTTAAGTCTACCCAAGTAGTCATATAAAAAAAAAAGTGATGTGACATTGCTTAGACAATACGTTTTCATTAATTTTGGGAATGTCACAGAATTTACATAAAGATTATCTTTAACATGAACCAAATAGTAAAAGCATACCCAGTCATTTTTACAAGAATACTAATAGAGAAATAAAAAAAATAATGTTTAATTCGAAATTTTATTTTAAAATGCAGACTACATATATCCATTTGCATATAAACATATACGAAAATTTATTTATAAATAAATGTTCATTGCAATAAATTTAAAATAAATTAAATTACGTGCTAACTTAGATCTTTAACCAGCGAAACAAGGCACCAACACACCAACGAACCACCACGCTCCGACATAACCCGATCTACCCTGTGAGGTGTAGAGCAAAAGGGTGAGTACATGGGAATACTCAGTAGGATATAAAAATTTTAATGGTGCAATCCCGAATAAAAATTTTAAACACATGTATCAGAATATCATACCGTCTCATATCTTTAAAATCCGGTAAGAGCTCATAACATATTGTATCATATCATATCATTGTACCGGAATGGCCATATCATTCATATCATAGAACATCATATCATAGCATTAACTTTCATGAGTATAAAATTCATCAACATGTAAGAATAATAATTAAACGGGATAAAAAACTTTGCACCTCAATATCCTACCTTGATTGATGAAAAGAGTTTTCTAGCAGAAAAGAAATAATTCCCACGTTCCACAATCTTTCTCTGATGTCCCGTGTGTATGTACGTTTTTGAATAAATAAAACATATCATAATTCTTTTATCCATAATATTTATATTATATTCTAAAATCACGTATTTTCCATAAAATGGCTCAATGTGTGTCTTTAAATTTTGCACGTTTGAAAGTCGTTTCACAGTCAAACACGGCAATTTGCCTAATTTCAAGCCAATGATGGTTGAAAGATTGATAGTATTGGACCATGATTGCTGTGTACCATTATTTGCTCTTTTAATTGATGAAAGTTGTCAATTTTCCAGAATGTGTGCTGACAAGAATTCAGTATTTCACACACCAATTTCCCATATTTGTCCTTCACACCAAATCTCATCAAAAGTACACGTTATAAAAGTGAGGCAACAAAAAGGAAAATTCCTATATTCACACATTTTCCAAAATTATATATATAATATATTCCTAGGGGAAGTGGCCAACAATTTAAATTCAAATAGAATCCATACTAATTTATAATAAACTACAACTTCTTTAAACTTCGATATCTTGAGTTTAACTTATTCATATCAACTTTTCCTCAAGACTAACATATGTAATTAATTACGGGCTATCCAACGAGCCCAATTGAACCTGATTTCTTTTTATAAGGTTACCCGTGGCACTCCCTTATAAAATTCTTAGATTAATTTTTTCCCTTTCCCCAGCATCTCTAGAAAACATCAAAAGGCTCACTCCGGCCAAAAGTTTTCATTCATCTGGGTCACTCAGGATTAACCTAAAAACAGTATGGCTTCTAGAAATCAAGTTATGCTTTTATTATATGAATAGGATGAAATGATAAACATAACAAATATTTTCTTAAAATATGAACATAAAAACGTGAACAAAAGAGTAAAACATAAATCAGGGATTTATAAATTCATTTTTTAAAAGATTTACAACTAAGGATTTCCCTTTCGGGAAGTCCCTAAAGTTCTAAAATAATCTTAAAAAGTACAAGAATACCTTAAATATTCACAAGGATGCTTCAGCTATACAATGTTTTTTTCTTTTTGGATTGAAAATTTTTCTGGAGGAGAGATTTCAAAGGGTTTTTTGGATAGCAGAAAGTACACAGGCTGTAAACTTCTCCCTAAACCGGATGAAACTCATTCCTTAAATAGAAAAATTCTTGGGAGCAAAGGGTCTAAACTACCCTTGAGAAAGGCACACGTTTCACCGAGAAACTTCTGACCATTCTGACAAGTGGCAAGAATTTTTGTGTCTTTTTGCTAAAATTTCTAAAGGTCTACAGTTGGAAATCTTTCTTTTGCAAGATTTCTACCAACTTTACAAAAAAGTCTATCAAATGTCTAAAAATTCAAATGGGAATCTTTTCATTTTCAAAAAGTCCCGACACCTTTTCTAATAATACAACAATAATGAAGATTTTTTCTAAAAGTCTATAGTATGATGATAAAAAGTCTTCAATTTTTTCTTCTTTTCTTCTTTCAGATTTGTCTTGTTATGCATTATTGAGGATCTCTATCTTGTATCAAGATTGTGGCGTGCCACTGATAAAAATGACATTCCACTGTCTGAATTATTGTATCCTTCATCCTGTGGATCTTCGTCTTCGTATGAAAGTCTGGAGTTACTGGCTTCATCTTTTTTTTTTTATTCTGGGCATTCTGAAATTTCTTTCTCTTCTCCATGATTCTTTTTTAAGATTGTTTCGAATGCTTGATTTATTGCTTCTCTAATTTGTTATTTCAATCCTTCATCATTTTTCTTTTTCTTAGTCTTTTTCTTTTTTCTGGAAGAAGTTCCTTCATCTTTTTTGGATTGTTTCTGAAATTCTTCAATTTTTTCAAAGATCTTTTCTAAAGAAAGAGTATTTGGATTATGATCTTGTGATTCTTGAAAAAATAAGCATTCTTGACTGTCTTGAGATAACATTTTTTCTTTTCCCTTAATGGACTGAATTTCTTGGGCTTGAGAAAATTTTGGGTTATTTGAAAAATATTCTGGAGAAAAATGGTCTGGTGGACTGTATTTGACTAGGTAATCAAATTTTCCACTAGGCTGTCCTAAAAGATCCCAAATTTCTTTACCCTTTTCTGT